TAATAATCATATTTTTAATCTACGGAAAAGAAAAACTCTAAGCATTAGTGACTATTGTGAATGTAGTGGAAAAGAGTGACAAGGAAAAGGAGGAAAGGACAAGAAGAATGGAATATAAGAAATAATTCTCTAATGAAACATTTACTGCCTGCTTTTTAAATTTTCATGGTGACAATCTGACACAAAGTTCACCTTGCTTTACATTACAAATGAATGATGTTCAAATTAGTTTTTTTGAGGCAAAATTTTTCAGCATGAATTGGTAACAGAAGTCATACTAAAATAATCATTATGTCACTTACAGCATTCTCAAAGAGTAAAGGTCTTTCTGACATCAGCTTTTGTCTGAGTCATACATGAGTATAGAAGGCAGAGATGAGAACACAGAAGCATGACACCTCTCTTCATAATTAATCAACTGTCAGAACAAAATCAATAAAACCAACTCCCATTAACATTGAACCATTAACTCAGTGATCTTGCTTAAAAAAAAAAAACAGCAGGTATAGAGGGAGGTGAAGTCAGCTTGGTTGTGCATTAGCACGAACAATATATTATACAGATGGTCCATTGTCCCAAATGTTGAAGGACAAATGGGTAAATGGAGAAAACAGATGACTGTGTGGAAGCAGTTTAAGTCTATTAGGTATAAATGGAAAATTCACTCTGTGACTTTATTTAGGTTTAATTAGATTCTCCATCCACATATTATCGACACAGGCAGTTAGTTCTTGCACTAGCCTGCAGTTCCTAGATTCCACATTTCACTTACCTAATTATTCAGAAAAAAATATTCCTTAGGATCTGAGGTCTGCCTCATAAATCTATGAGACTCACTCTTGGCATGCATATTTTTGCCAAAAGTACAATTCCACCAGTATTGATCACTAAGCACTTACTAAGGCAAAGAAACTATTCGAGAGATACAGAAATGAAGAATAAAAGGCCCTTGCCTTCAAAGCTGACAACATAATAAGCGAGTTCGAACTGCAACACAAATAATTAGAATATAAGACAGGCTGTTGTTAGCAGTACTGTAGAGGCACAAAGAGCAAGGGGAAACACAGAAGACAAAGACAACTCAAATCAAGTGAACTGTGGTCTCGATTTTATGCAGGCACACACCCATACCACTATATACATCTATACTATACATATATATGTGTGTGTGTATAGATATATACATCTATATTATATATATGTATATATATATGTATATATAATATATATGTGACATGAAAGTAGATGTGAGACTATCTTGGAAAAGGAATGGAACTAGTGGGGGAAATATTAAGGACAGATATAGTCAAAGTATATGAGAAATGTGAATAAAATGCCATTATTAAATTCATTACTAAGTATGATGGATATATGCCAATAACTAAGAGAAATGAAGAAAGCTTTAAAGAGAACATAGCATAGAAACTGCTTCTGGATGCACAGGTGGGATATAAGGCCTTGGAGATAGGAAGTGGCCTAGGCAGAGAAAACAATGTGAACAAAGAAAGAGAGGCAGGAGGACGCCATTTTCTGGATAGCCACAGAGCTGCATAACAAAAGCAGAGCTGCATTTTATTGGCGAGAGTAACACAAATTTTAACCCTCCCCAAACTGTGCACAGCACAATTTCCCAAATACATATGCCAACCTTCTGTCCAGACAAAACATAGAGTTGCCTCCTGATAAAATTCAGGGTGAAGAAGAGAGCAAAGAATATCTATGGGGTGGGCTGGCCCTGGTGGTGAAGAAGAGGGAACCCCTGTGGCAAGAAAGACAAAACACATTGATTTCCTAGTCTTGCCAAAAAAGAAAGTGACTGGCAAGCTTTGCCAAGTGAGTTAATGAAAGATTCAGTAAACATTACCAATGAGGCTTCCTAAAATTCCCTGCCATTCTCATTCTGGAAAATTTTCCTGTCTGCCAACTCTGAACAAGCAGAGGCTGGCGTTGACTTGGCTTGGTGAGTTGTGCAATGTTTCTGAGA